AACTTTCTGTGGTAAGGCTCTGATATTAGAAAACAATACACATGACACAATTTCAAAGTAAAACTTATGACTGTTGACTTGATCTAATTAGTAGAAATGCACCTGTTAATATTTTAAATTTGACTTCCATAATCTTCACATCTGTCATGATGTAGCATGTCTTACAACAGAATTACTGTAATGTAAAAATGTCTTCTTTAAAACCAAAAATAATAAATGATTTGGTCTTCCAAATGAGTTGGAAAAACCAAATAATAGGGAATTATAGGGAATGGAATTTTCTGTTCCTCGTGGTTCCCAATAAAACCAGATCAGTTTGGTTTTATACTGCATTAATGCTAGATTGTTTACAAAATATTTAGAAATTAAACTAATCTAGAATTCTAAATGATCAAAAGTGTATTTGAAGTTGGACATGCTCATTATGTTTATAATATGAGAGGAAATATCCCCCAAAAGCACAGACAACATTACAATCAATGTCTGTGAGGGGAGTTCTGCAATGGAGCAGCCTCACAGAAGAGATAAAATCCTCCTTAAAACCTTACGGAAATTAAAATAAAGTTTACAAGATATGAGATGAATGAGTATTTGGAGGAAAATGGCTTTTAGAAAGGGATCACGTGGACTGTGTAGGTGTTTTGGCAAGGGTATGAGTGATGCACTATATTTCTTCATGTATAAAATATATTTGTATATAAATATTTATGAAAATATGATCATTTTTTATGGGAATTGCATTGAAGATTATTTCAGATACATATTGATGGGAAGTGAAATGTCTTCAAACTTGGAAACTAAGTCCAGTGGATTGTTTTTTTTAACTTTTTTGGAATACGCCATGAAAAATAAAAAAAAAATTTATATAAGAGCATGACTTCTATATTATGTCTCTTTAATTGCAGTACATTGTTGAGAAGAAATGATTACTGTTTTTTTTATCACCTTTGGTTATGTAACAACTGGAAAATTTGAAAAAATAGGATATTCAACATGATGGTATAACGGCTGCCATCCTGAGCTTTAGAAGAGAACTGCTTGTTTTAGAGGTGGTGAATGGGCTTTATGCCCAATTTTACTTCCTGAACCTCAGCCTGCTACTTTGTACGGAAGAGGATTAGGGACACTGGAAAAAAAAAAAAAGTTAAC